ACAAAAAACAAGTCATAACAAAATTGGTTTCCATTGGTTTAATGAAAAACATTGAAATCTCAGTCTAATCAATGGAGCAAAAAATATAGATTTTGTTTGATTCATTATTCAATTTATTTATGAATATCTACAACATTGTATGTTTACTGTTTTTTTTTACGACGAAAAAGTGGAGCATTCAAACTCGTGAAAGAATATTCCAACGTTTTACTCTTTTCTAAATTTCTTTATAATAATTAGTTTGACGTCTGCGTTTTAGTCAGAAAATCTCAAATTATATTTAAATTTCTTTCCCAAAATGTTATTTTTTTCCCATACAGCGAAGAAATACATGGGATACCCATCGATTCTACTCGTAATGATTCCATTATAAAAGCCAAACAATTTTTCATAAGTGTAAGTATAAGACATGATATATTTGCTACTCTCAGCTGATGGATTTCCTGATTTCTAGTAAACAAAACAGTTAACGAAAATTCTCACTTTTGATTATTTTTTCATATCGCTGATGATGAGATTTGATCGACCAGCAGTTTATACCGACATTGTACTAGGTATCTTTGTTGCATATTATTTCATTTTAACGTTTCCGAAACCTAAAAACCTATTTCTGGAAGAACTGTTTTTACTAAACAGTCGTCGAGTTTTCTCAGACTATTCTGTACTATTGATCTCACATTCAAACAGAACAAGTTCATTGAAATGCATTTCTATGTTGAATCAAATATCTTGTGCAAGATTTTTATTTTTTTCGTACATCATCTCTCGTTGGCGAGATCTTAAAAGGATGGCAGAATTCATGGAAAAAATAATACTTTTAAAAAACGCTTAATTACTTCATTCGAAAATTTAAAAATAGAGTACCTATGATTGACGTAAAAAAGTCGAACGACATCAGCCTTAATCAAGAAGTGGTATAGAAAAAAAAGCTGCATAGATATCTATTTAAATTTGATTTTAGAATTTTATAGGTGGACTTATCTTCATGTTCTGATTGTTTTAAGTTGTTGCATCTATGAATAGAGGATATTTCATTATTCTTAAATATCAAGATAGATATGGTTAGCTGTTTCGACAATACAAAATATTTATGTTTCTCAGTGATGCTAACTCTACTCGAGTTTTTGTTTTTTTGCCATCTTCGTTTATCAAACGTTGAACACGAACTGTAGGTATCTTTAAAATAAATGTGGAAACTTCGGATTTCATCCGAAAGTTATGTGTACTGCAAAAAGTGCATGGGATGTATGAGTCATTCTAGAATGTCTGAACACGAAAATTATCATGAGAAACTAGGCAATTTGATTTCTGGATGCAGTTTTTGTGCATTTGAGACGTTTTTCAGGTGATGTTTCGTTAGACAGCTATGATTTAGTTCAAAACTAATATCAGATTCGGAATCAGCGTTAAAAACTGAGTCGATTTATATATGTTGTGAATAGTTCTGAGAAAAATTTGTTTTTGAAAAAAAATCCCTGTACCCCTCCTCAGGGATGATCTGGTCAAAAATGACAATTTTTTCGATAACTCAGCCATTACTACTTGACGGATCCTTCTCATCTTCGAACTCGACCGAGATATTGATGAGATCATTCTGTGTACAAAATTTCATGGTAATTGGATGAGGCTTTCATAAGTTATCGTGCCTACGGCCGGCCGGCCGGACACGCTGACCGATTCTAGAGTGTACTCACTTTTTGAGTACACAAAAAAAGATATTGATCATTTTCATCAAATATTCTTTTTTCTTATCAGCAGCAGCCTGTGATATGGAACGCGGTGTAGAAGCGATTAAAAAAAGATGCCGTCTTTCTATGTTTATTCTACAGAATCAAGATGTTCTAGTATTGTTTATGTTTTACTTCCCATTTTCTTCCCCATGAAACATATGATTGTCTGGTTAAAAGATGGACAACAATAATTATTGGCATGCAGTTTATTGTTTATTATTTAATTGTAATGTCAGTTTGCATTCGATAAATATGACTTATTAATGCCACTTCAATTATAAGTGCTGACCGTACACTTGTTTACATTTGTCGCTATTCGGATTCATCTGGAAAACATTGCCTAACGCCCACAAAATGCACGTTGACATTTTTCTCTACAAGATTAAATATATACGAATCTGAGAGATTTTTTGTCGGAAACTTGTACTTCGATGTGTTTATTAAATATTTGATGAATTTCTGCTCTAATTCATACTGAAGGTTGCCGTGCTAAGCGTATGAAGTAAACATTTAAGTAGTCAATGAATCTTCATCTGGATTTGAGCAACTTTTGATTGTTGTACGAATGGACATTTCATTATCAATAATACAAGTTTTAGACAAAGAAATTGATGAGAAATAACATATACGTATTTATCTTGTTCTAGATTATAATTAAGTTTTGATATCGTTCTACTTATCGAAGATTTCAATAATACAATTTTATCATAGTTAACGACTGACTTATTCATTCATTTTTTCCCCATCGTTCAGAGCTGTTGTTTTTCATGTTCATCAACTTTTATAAGCAGCATATATCTTGAAATATTACTATTTACTGATAAAACCTATAATCTGTAGATGTGTATTGCAAAATAATAGTCAGAACTATATCAATCCGTTTGATATCTGCTTAAATATAATCTACTGAGGAGGTAGAACCAAGTGAATATATCGAATTGATTGGTAACTGATTAGAATTTCTACATTGTTTCAGTGGAAGAACGACTATTGGTCTCTTGAAAATGAATTCGCATTTTGTACCGGAAAGATTAAAATATCATTAATTCAAATAAATAAAGAGGTTATGCTACGTAAGTATGTCATGCATTTTCGATAAACGAAAGTGGCATTCAAAGCATATTCCTAATAGTGCATATTCAAACGAACTTCAATGCTTTTATGTTTGGTTCGTTATCATGAAATATACGCACGAATTAAAATGAAATTTTTCTAGCGAAGCGTCATGATGAATCGTTGCAATAGTTTCTTGAATAGAAATGTCCTATATGAGCCGAAAATAGAGTGCAATGCAGGGCGACTGATCAGGGACGGTGCGAACGGGGGGGGGGGGGGGGGCCCCAGGGGGGGATTGTNTTCAATTTTACTCCGATTTGAAGAAAATAGAAGAAATTTTTATTGATTTACTCCGATTTTTGAAAAAAAACCTCCCGTTTTCAAGTAACCCCCCTATATTTTTGTTGCTTCGCGCCGTCCCTGCGAATGATGGATCTTTCGGATTTTTTTTCAAAACTATGAACTTGCCAACCCTGAACGACGCCAATGATGTGATACAAGATGAACACTTGAACTTCTCTTCAACACTTCAAATCGAAGTTCACTTCAATAACAGTTACTATGCCATGAAATAGGCAAATGTTGTATATAAAACAAGATGTATGAATGACTTCGATTTGATTATCAGACTTTTGCACGACGATCATCCAAAAATAAATAAATCGAGGTCTTTTCTTGAGTCAGATGTTTGTATATTTTTGATTGCTAAATGAATTATTTAACGTGCTCATTCCAGAGAAGTACGGTATGTTTTGCCGCATATTTAGTAGAACGTGATTGAATCCAATTTTTCAATGGAGCTTCAGCACTCGAGAAATATAAATTTAAATATTTCAATCATAAAATTTTATACTGTGTGTCAAGTCAATAGAATTTAATTCAAATTTTCTTTCTCTGAAAGAAACAGCTTCGCAGGCACATTCATTCGTACTGTTTGAAAAGAAAATTATAATATTTATTGCTACTCTTTAAATGGCATTCATACAATTTCTATTTTAATTTTGTTGTAGAGAAGCTATTGACCTCAACGAGTTCTTGTCGATGTCATAGTAGCATACAAATTAATGTGCTTCCTCCCAAATACCTCACGAGTACAGAATAATGAGTAATCTTTCTGTTTGCCTATGGTAGAGAAACTCTTCGAGCTCGTTCCATTTAATAGCTGCAAGTATTTCATTCGAAACGTTGAAATCGGACAAGTAAACAATTAAGATTGTATTCATTTCTAGATAGTCGAGTAAAGCGAACGATGATGTTTACTTGCATTTTCGACGCAATTACACATCAGAAATAAATGACCTAGAAAAACGTCTTTTTTGACGGCGAAAATTTTGTGAAGAATAAATTATACCTATAAATCGAACTCAATCGATTATAGATAGATTACAGATCAATTAATTGATTTTATCTTGCACACTAAGAATCTTGGTAAATATTGAATCAGATAAATCAGAAGAAAAATTACTCTTGGTGAGATCAACAGAGAAATACTATCGTTTTTTGTTTTTGTTTTTGTGTTTTCAATGATGAAACTTGCACGCTTCTAGTTGTATTCATACTGAGTATGTTCGATAAAAAGAAACCCATCGCATTATATTTTGTTTCATCTTCAAAAATAATACCAAAAATATAGAGAAAAACTTGGCGTAAACACATATTTGTATTTTTAACATACGAAACATAATAAATAACTTCCTACAGATAAATACATGACATTTTGTTATGCAATATTATTTTTGTTTTTATCACTAGTTTATTTTCTCTAGTACCTATTATTAATCATGAATTATTCGAAATTTCTATTGAAATACCACAAACTTTCCCATAAATAATTCATGGTAGAATTTATTTTTTACCGCTCCTTATTTAGTATAGTTATATAGACACATTTCGTACTATATGCGTTTTTTTGCGGTTGCCCTTTGCAACAGTGTAAGTTGAGTGTACGTGAGAAAAGAGAAAAAAATGTACGAAAGAAAAAGAAAATGTATACACAAACGTCTATGATCATTCGCAACTGTCATGCATAAACAGTATGCTCGAATAAGAATGAAAGTAGGCGAGAGAACACCAAATAGTAAAAACGTAGTAGCAGATAAACAAGCTCGCTGTCATTTATATCGATACTCGCTTCTGAGTTGCTATTCATTCAATATGATCATCCAAAGATTCGCTGCGTTTCTTTTCCTTTTCATCCTTGTCGATGCCAACCCAATGCATCAAAACGCTAGGTAAAAAATAGAAAAAACAACAACTGTTTTGCGTATTTTTTTGTTCTACTTTACAATCGGTGTGTTACAGGCAAAACGAATATCGCCAACGACGTAGTCTTGAAATTACAAATTGGCAATTAGCGGATATATTATATAAACATCTTTCTCAGGATGATACTCATCGAAGTGAAATAGGCAATAGAGTTAAACGTTCAGAGGTGCCACTAGAGTTAAGACCTGTCGGAGGACCCATTAGCATCGAACAAGTGCCAGCGATGATAGCAGCAAGATATGTTAAACGTTATCCGTATTCACCAAAGGAGGATCCTGATATAATGTAAGTTAAATCAAATCATTACAAGAAATATATTGAACTGTTTGTTTATATTTTAGTGGTTGATAAGAATTTTCCTGTCCGTCAAAATTCATTCAAAAAATAATTCATTATGCAAAATTTCACTCTATCTTAACTAGGCAGATATTATGGAAAAATTTTTTTCACCATTATATTTGTATTATCTTTTACGAATTTTTCGTAAGGAAAGGATGATCTATTGATAATTGACAAAAAGTATTCATTACATGCTGTGCTTTCAACAATAATTTTCAATGCCTATTTTGTCCTGTCCATAAATAATATGTTTGAGTTAAAAATAGTTATCGGAATTTGATCGAAAAAACAAAAAAGACCTAGAGAAAATATCAGTTGAATATAATATGTTTGTTTGTCATTAGCCAGAAAAAGAAACAGAAATAGTCAAGTATTTGATTTCTTTCTTCGGGTCACAAATGTTTGCATAACTATAATAGTTTATCTTTCATGATGAATTTCAATGGCTTCCACTTTACTTAAGACAATAGTAGATCTCAAATATAAAAAATCAAATTGATACGGAGTAACGCGAAGAATTCAATCAATTGAGGACACCTACTGTGTTATTTCGCAAAGAAATGTTTTCGTTTTAAGAACATATTTAGTGTAGTGAACGAGAAAAGAAATTAGAAATTCAATTATTTCTACCTATCGACATTGGCATACTAAAACAGACTGGAAAAAGAAACTTTATTTACTAAGTTGTAAATTTCATGAATTGATTACGACATTATAAGTATTGAAACTGATCAAGGCTACGTCTCAAGTGTTTACTTTAAATGTAATTTAAAATAGAATTGCTTGCTCCACTCTGTGCAATATAATTGTAGTATCGTGATTACCCTTTTCCGATGAAATACCATGTGAAGATCAATATTGAATAGTGCAAACAACTATAGCGCGTACGTTAAATCTTATATCAATGCATAGTAATAAAACGGATTCATATACTAACAGCACGATCAAGTACAATCAAGAACAAATCTATAAATATTTGCGGTCAAACAACATATAAACGTCTATACTCAAAAGACGTAAACCAGCCGAGTAGATGTCTAGCAATCATCATCATCGATCTGCGGCGTGTTCTAATAATCAAATATAAATTATTCGAGAGACAAATTCTACATGTAATTGAAATTATTCTTAGTAATAGATAGTTGACAGACAACTGTTGACCTTTTAGCATTGATAAGGTTGAGATAAGCTACATACAAGTCGTAAATACACGAGTGCTATCAACAACATGAATTACGTTGACACTGGTGCCAGTGTATGTAAAAATCGTATGTAGCCCATCTCGACCCATTGATAATATTAGCAGCAGTTCGGACAAGAGGCATTATATTCATATCCTACATTTATAATTCTAGATGTCACATATGTACGATTATCAATTAGGAAAATATGAAAGTAAACTAATAGTGTTTCATTTCAGTCTTACATAAATATTTTCATTTCATTTTGCCTGTTTAACTTTCTCTTGTAGTTACTATTTAATTTAGGCATGATTTGAATCAATCTGAAGGCGATAAGAACAAACGGTAACCTCATCAAATGCGTAACATGATCGGGTTCATGTCCTTGTGATTTTATGCTGCTTAACAAACTGATATACTATAAGAAAACAGGGATGAAATCCATCACCTGTAAGATTCGAACATCAAAAGAGTCAGTTGTTGAAATTTTTCTGATATTGCTTTATTTTGAGTTGTAAGTGTGGGAGCAATGTCTCACTTACAATATAACCTAAAATCAGAATATGAAGTCTAGACTTATTTTAAACAACGTATTAAATATCTGCTGAGTTCACAATAACTGATATCGATACGTAGAAGACCGTGGAACTTTCATAAATTTTGACTCATTGTCTGCTAGACGGTAAAACATACCTACTCTTCGAAAATTTATCAGCTGAAGTTAAAACAGAATTTAGTTGTTCATCATGAGTAGAGAAATTCATTTTTAAATATTCTGTTAACTGAGTACACAGAACACTGTCGAGCTTTCTTTCATAATATATTCACCGCATGGACACAATCATTTTTCAAAAGATTGAACATAGAACTGCAGAGGTTTCAAAATCGATTTTTGATTTTTATTTGTCTTGGAAATTTAATTTAATCTTAAATTGATGTGCAATATTTGGTCGCGCGGGTAAAAAAGAGAAATGGTTGCGCTCGTTTATGACTGGCCGAAAAAGGAAACAAACGGGAGTAAAGCATTTTGACAGATGATCTATTTCCTTCATTTTCTCCCGTTTTTTGCCGTCGTCGACCGTTCACTATCTTAATGTGTTCATACCTTATTTTTACGCGTTTCTCGATGCCACAAGGTCATATCGTTACTAATGTCATATTATTATATTATTATATATCATTTTAACCTATTTTTTTCAGAATCTAGATGTCATGAATGACACTATTGAAGAAAATAAGATTGAAGTCCTCCCACCGATACCAAATGTTATCGAAGATTCTATAGCATCACGTACAAAAGAAATTACTAAACGGCCAAAACGGGAACGTAGTCCAAGTAATTGACATAATCCTTCTAGTATTTTAGCTATTGATCACATTACACTATTTAGCTCATCAAGTTCAACCATCGGCGCCGAAGATTAAAAAAATCAAAGAGGTCGCACCCAAATTATCGGATAAAACAAAATGGACAATGGAAGAACAAAAACAGTTTTTCAGTGCACTGCGAATTGTAAGATTGCTGTACGTTTTACTAAAATATCATCTGAATTTTATTTCAGTATGGCAAAAACTTCGATGCACTTGGACAATGTTTCAATACAAGACGTCGTCTTGTAAATCCTGAAGCACAAAAACGTACATTTGGTCAGATACGTTGTTTTTACTATCGTTCATTTCGTACAGTTTCAAAGTTATGTACATTTACTGAAGGTTAGCTTTTTTTTGTTTTATATAAATATATTTATGTCGTCTTTTGTTAGAGGAAAAAGTTAATGTTGATTCACTTGAATTACGTTCTGTTCTGGCTTATTTATGTTTAAAACCAAAAGTTAAATGTAAGTTATGAAAAAGATTCAAGTTGATTATTGTGTTATTCTTTATTTTCAAACATAGGTTTTGATAAAAAGCCAACTATATCTGTTTTACATCAACTTATTCGCAATGGTAGCGCATTTTTACGTGCCAAAGGACAACGAGAACATGTATCTATTATTGGTAAAGCATTAAAGCCACCTAAAACATCTAATACACTTGGTATGAGATTAAATTAATTGACGATTAAAATACTATTTAATGTGTACGTAGGTACAACAAAACAGTCCGATAGAACATTATCAAAACATATTAGAATTTTATTAAGTCCAGCATCACCAAATGCTTATATGCGTGTTGCTCTATCATGTCGATATCCTCATGTTGAAGTTTTAGTATCACGTACGACCACACTATATGAATTAATTGACAGATTAACTCAATATTGGCAATTAAATAATCATGCTCAATCTGTAAGTTTAGTAGTGAATGATAAAAAAAAGTCATGTGATCAATTGTTCAATTTTCTAAAAAACGAATTTGTAAACATCAAAACTAGAAGTAAAATGTTGCGTACTTGTTGAACATGGTTTTTTACAATTGAAGATGAGAAATTTTAAAATTACTCATAGAAAGTTTTCAAACGTTTCATCATGTAAAATAAAACTAACAGTTATTTCATATCAATGAACCGATATATCTCAATAAAACAACATGCCGGTGTTTATGTAAGTCTACGCGATCAACTCTGATACAAATTTGTAGCAGAAAATATTACTTCTATTTGCTATGAAAAAGTCTCGCCATATTCAGGAGCCAGTAGACACATATATTCTGGTTATAATCTATTGAAACTGTTCATCTTTAAAGTTTTTAGTATTTTATTATATTTTTCTTTTATTTTTTGCTTCTAGTTATTCAAAGATGATCTATCTATGGAACAACTTTTTCTATATCCTCACGGATCTTATCTATCTTCGTCGTTCATAGATCTTCCATCTGTATCAACGGATTCAAATCCTGTACTTGATCTTGCATCTTCACGAAAACAATCAATCGCTAATATTGATAAACAATGTCGTTCACGATCTGATTCAGAAATTTCGACAGAACCTGTAGTTGATCCTTCTTTAACATTACTACAATCGAATGCAATTCTTAAAAGAAACAATTTGTCTGAAAATGAATTTCCAAATGAATCAACTGTCATATCTATTTCTCCATCGTCAACACCATCACCATCAGTTTCTTTTCCTTCATCGTCATCATCAACGTCCATCGTAACCATTAATAATAAATCGAATTTAGCCCGAACAGCTATTTTACTTGCTGCTAAACGAGCTGCTTCCAATAATCCTACGAATAATTATGATACATCAACATTTACACTAAATGATGGCACAGAAGATGAAGCCGATAGTAGTTCAACTTCATTCAAACAGAGACTTGATTTTCTTGACTTAATCGATGAAGTAAATAAATATTTTGATTGCCCATTTTCTTAACACTAAAATTATTCGTGCCATGCATTACCTTATTGTCTCTTTAGTTTCCATCTGAAGACGAGATTGAATCTGACGCAAATGCGTCCGTACCTGTATCAACAACAACAACAACAACAGCAACATCTTCTATGTCTGTGAATAATTCAACAGCTGTTACATTAACAGATATATCTCAAGGTATCAGTCGGGCGAATTCGTTATTTTCAACATTAACAATTGGTGAATTACAAAAACTATTGCAACGGACAAAAGAACTAAGACTTAACTATGATTTTACTAGTTTATTACGTACAAGTAATGCTACTGATTGTGTATCACCTGCATCTTTTCTTCACTATGTTATACAAACCGCAAATCAATGTTTAACAACTATGGCTGATCGTCAATCGCAATCAGAAATAAAAACAACAAAAAAAACAAATACAAAAAAGCAACAAATATCAAAATCAAAATGTTTCTGCTCTTGTTGCTCTCATCAGCATTCATTCAGTACAAAAGACCAACGACGTTCATCGGTAAAAGCTGCTAATTCACCAAATACTGAGATGTGTGCTTTATTACCAATGTCGCAGTCAATGTCAACGCAAGATATGATTACTAGTGCACATGATGACATATTCACAATGACAAATTCTCTACAAAGTAATATGATGAAATCTGAACTAGTCTAATTAGAAGTGAAGACTCCGGGTTCTTGTCCGGCATGTTTTTTTTACAGTGCTACTTAGCTGTAGAATAATCAATTTGATCTATAGTTCTTGTGTTTAATCGATGAAGTTTTCTATATACATATATATCTACTGATGTTTAGATCATATGAACAATAACATAAGCAAAGTATCGGATGGTGATTCACATAATAAGTGAGTAGATATTTGTTGAGAATATTTTTTGAATGCTTTTCGAAACTTTTCATAGATCGTTCACATTATCACAAAATGATGAACAGCCTGATATTTTTGATACTCGCTCGTGGCCAGCTGATACAGGAAGAAGATCTTTGGAACAAAATCAACCTCCTGCATTATCGACTGCAACAGCATCAGTAAATACAACAACTGAAATTCCATCAGTGCTAACATTATTACTACCGATGATGAATGGAACCGAGTCAACTTCTGTTCCTCAAACAAAACAGTCTTCTATTATTTTTAGCAGTAATAACGGTGTCATTGATGATCCATTGATTCAATCATTAGCTGCCGAACAAGCTGCATCAGCACATAATTATGATCTCTTATCACATAGATACAAACGGGTAAGCGATATGTTTTTAGAGTCTCTGCTGTTTTTTTTCATAAAACATTTTACATTTATTTTAAAGGTAAGGCGTCCATTACGTTACGGTGATCAATCGACTCGTCCTTCAAATATTCAATTTTTAATTAGTAAATAAAAACCATTTGTTTCCTAGAATAATCTTATTTGTTCTATTCAGATGCAAATATAAATGCTCAACAAACAGCAGCTGCAAATCAACGTCTACTTTATAATATAAATAATACGTCCGATCTTACAGCATCTTCCAATGATGTATTTCACAATGATTGTGAAAATCCTAGTAATATTTTTGAGAAAACCTTTCAAAATTTTTCTTCATTTTCCATTGCAGATGATCTTCTCAATGATAATACCAATATGAGTACTGTTTCATTGAGTAGTATGTTATTTGTTGTACATTCCTATAAACTGTATTAATGTAATTTGTTTTTATAGCAACGATTGTCAATGCAGCATTGCAAAGCGATACTTCACGATTGCGTCTGGATTGGCCAGATAATGTAATTTGATATGCTTGAAAATAAAATAAAATATGTTTTCTTTTTTTCTTAGATGTCTGATTTGTCGTTCGGTAGTTTTCCAGATTTACTTGAATCTAATACACTATCGTCGACGCCAGGTGAACTGAACAATTTTGAACAGTCGACAGTGACTAATATAAATGAACAACACAAATGTGTGGTAAGTTTCATTGATTAGTTACATGATATTTAAATTTTTGTTTTCTAGTCTGAAAATTCAATATCAGATGCAGTATTTGCCATCAATAATACAACTAATTGACTGCGTCAGATTTGACTTTGAGCTTTTTTAGTTAATCATGATTTTATTTCCTAGTCAAATCGAAACGTCCTGTTGTACAATACGTCTGGTCAATTTCCATGAAATCATAAGTTCTCGAAGATGATCAAAACTAAAGCGACTTACATCAAAATTTCAACACGCATTTTAACTCGACATTCAGTTTTTTTTGCTTCTGCATGAAAATTCTTGTATATGATAGAGTGAAAGCATCTTTTGTTTCACGTCTTACCAACAGTTGTCGATTCAAATACTAATATTTACCAAAGAAGAAGATTTTTTTTCTCAAACAATATCGCCTCGCTTTAGTCAATGATTTATTAGGAAATTAAATTCTCTAGGCCACTACGAAATCGAGTTTCTTACTTTTATCGAGAAAAGTTATGAATAGAAAGAACAAAAAAGAAAGCCTATTTAGCTTATCAATAACAACAGTTTTTATTAAATAAAATATTTGCTTACAGTTAACCAACCATAAGTCAGAAAAACAGTCACAAGTAGCATTGAGTTTTGATTCTAGCTGATTAATTTTGAGTGGGTTATTTTGCATCAGACGTTTTATGGAGAGACTTTTCACGCTTAGGTTATTTGAATAAATATATGCGTCTATTAGCGGTTTTCTTATTTTAACTTTTTTCTTTTTTTTTCTATCTTTGAAATGAACTCTAATTGTTAATACTCGCATTTCGCTCTTGTTTATTGTATTTGCATTATTTTGTTTTCTTTTTGTGACTATTCTTGGATCCTCGGTGTTTTTCTTCTTTTGATAAAGAAAAAGAATATCAGAACAAAAATATGATGAAGGGTATTTAAACAAGTTTCTTATTAAAGGTCTCATTTTTAATTTCTACTGGCTTCTACGAACACCTTACTATACCAGTCGAGCTTTTCTTAGAATATGTCAACTAATCTATTGAAAGTAATAATTATTACAAGGACATTCAATCACGTATGGCAATATTTAAAGCATGTAATAATTTAGTATTCTCAAATGACTAGCAATGTGCCGCGATAAGAAATCTATACATGAACATGATTATGAGCAATCAAAAGTGGGGCTACTGATTTATGACTCATTTTTTTTTCTCTTGCTCTTTTTGTATCTGATTAGGTTTCTATTTGTTCTCGTTCTGCTACCATACATATTCTGTCTTTTTTCGCCATACTAACAGAGCACAGTACAAATAAAAACAGAAGCTATGTAACATGTGTGCGCCCATCGTGTATTCCTCATTCTGTTCGGTTCTCCGTCATTGACACGGATAACTAGACTACCAATAACGTTGCCGTCTACATTGCCTCACATTACAGACTGCTATGGTGTGCAGAATAGTCATATATTACTAAACTTATAAGCAAGAATTCTTTACAATCATCAAAGGAAATTTGGTGAGAAGGTAAACATATTTTAATCAACAACATGTCTCGTAGAAAAGCAAAACCTTTTTTATTTTGATGAATTTTAATTAAAATAAGAACGTATAGATTTTCAAATCTATGAACTTCCATTGCTTTCTACATGTAAAAATAATCGGTTGCGTGCTTTACCGGAAAATCTAGCTTCGTTTTAAGTTACAAATTCTTGCTTGTTGATGTAGTATTGTAGACGTGGTTTTAATAGTATTAGACTATCTATCAATGATAGTTGGAAAATTATATAAGAAAAGATTCGCTCATTTATTTTTGAATATTTATTGCAGCTGAAAAAAACAACCATTATTTGTTTCATTTCAAATAATGACATCGATCAGCGAATACGTTGAATTTAATTGTACGTTCGAATATAAACAATTAAAATTAATTGAAAAAGAATGGCTTTCTAGTGCATTATTTTATTCTTCGATTAATAATACGACATGGCGTTTACAAGTAGACAGACTGCATCCAACAAAGCTGGGTATTTATTTAACATTGATTGACGGTGCTCCATGTACTTTATGTTCTTACACACTATCGATGATTACCAATAAAGAACCATCTCTTTTGATTTTTGTTAACAAATGTACTCAAAAACGGACATTTCCATCCAATAGTTTTTCATGGGGTTTTGCAAATTTTTGTTCACGCCGTGAATTAAAAGATGAACGAAATCTTATTTGCGATCCAAAAACAAAATTAGTTAATCTACGGTGTTCTATGAATATAGAAGTTGTAGTTCCAAATAATATTACTGATGATCATCGTTTAGCAACTGAACTATATCCTCGTTATTCACTTGAACAATGGATTGAGTTTCTCAAACAAGGTAATCATGATCTACCCGAGTTGACAAATAGAGTAAATGAAGAAATTGCAGCAAAATTATCCTGATAGAAATTTTTTTCCTGCATATACGTGTACAAAATAAAACTGAAACCGACAATTTTATTTACCATGTAAACTCTATTTTGTTTTCACCAGTTGTCCTAATCATAAGATAAAACTGAATAAAAAATCTACTCAAAACAAACATTTTATAGATAAAATAATGTGCAACATTTTCCATTCAAAATAATACGATATGAAAAGCTTTTGTTTTCGAACTCAAAGAAATTCATCACACAGTAAAGGGACATCCAGAAAAAAAATTGTTCTATTTAACATATCAAAGCAAGACGACAATCAAACAGTTTTAGAATGAGCATTTTTTATTCATCCTCACTTGAACCGACAACACACGACTGTACACATTTTTTTATACTCCAGGTGATAGGCAAATCATTTCTTTTGTATTCTCATATAAGAAATGTTCTTTCAAGTTTCACAGAACAATGCAGCCAAGTAATAGCATATTATTCATTTCTTTCTCATTGTCTATTTGCATTGTACAAAGTTGTTCGTTTCATGCATCAATTAAATCTACAGATTCTTTATTGTGTCCCAATATAGGAATGACCACTTGAATATGAACTCACATCACCCATCAGACAGCGTACTATTATGATACCAATAAGCTACGATAACAAAAAACAACTTATATCACTATATTGGCATATCAAGTAATCTTACCAAGGTCAAACTCATGAATAAAGCTAAACCACCATTCATTCCTAACATGAGCTTCTCTTCAGCGTACTAAAAGAAAAAAATCGATCATAATCATTAATATAGCATCGATCAAAATTAACATAAGAAATCATTTTAAAACCTACAGTAGTTTGATTCACACTTGAATTATTATTTGATTGACTTAAGAATCCATCGACTTGAGCTACAAATATAGGATTCATTCATTTTGTTCTTCTCTTTCAAAAAAAGAAGAAAAAGAAAAGAAAACATACATGCAAAAATAATACCAATAATACCAACCGCTGCTCCAATTATCATCAAAAACCATAAGCAACATTCAAACTAAATCAATCAGACAGTATTACAAACACTTAGGCTTACTTTTTTCTACTCACTATTCTTAATAATATTAAGCGTAATGTAAAGAAAGCAATAAGCCCATGAATACTTATTAGAATACCAAATGATCCAATAATAACGAGAAGAATACCAAAGCCTAATTCACGACGATAGATATCTGTTGATAAACTAAGAACAGTTTGAAGACGTGGAATAATTAGATGCCATGCACCAAGCACAATAAATGCTACTGATTCGATCACAAGAAGAAAAATGAATAGAAGCGAAACTAAGATGATACACAGATGTAATGGTCTGTCACGAACACTAGTTGTTGGTTTATATTGATATTGAAGAGATTGAGGTCGAGTATGCATTGGTATATATTGAATAGGGTCGTTTATAGATGTCTTGACAACTATTGATTATAACTGAGAATAAAATAAGTTGAAGTAAGGATAGAAAAGTTATGCAAATGAAAGCAAATGGTAGAGAAAAAGAAAGAGAGAGAGAGAGAGAAATAGAAGAATCGACGAGTAAAAGAATCGGTGAAAAATGAAAAAGTACTGCTAATGTTGGTAATGTCAATGCTCGAGTAGCTGACGATGTCGTGAGAAAAGTAAAAAGTATATGCCACAGTAGCAGAACTTTTCTTCTTTCCCCGGTGTTTTGTCGTTGCTTCACCTTTCTAGGTAAAAATTGGTCGGATAAGTTTTCATGTTATCGCAGATGAGAATAGAAAAAAAAGCAAGAAGATATGTAATCATGTTGAGATGCAAACTATCGCTTAAAATAATATCAATAAATATTAATAGAGGACTGTATTTTCAGAAGTAATCATAAGTGTGAATTTTTACGTTAATATTCATATGATCTACAAATAGCTGGTTAAAGTTGTAATCATTTTAGTCATAATCAATTTATAGCATACAATAAAACTTTGTTATCTGCTGTTGAAAAATATTCCTTTTTGGATTAATTATTCCAACGAGTTCCATAGGTTTATAAGATCTAGGGTGATTTCTGCCCTCAATATTCTAAATGACTTCGATAAAAAAAAGACTAATCTTGTCCAGTAGACATTTTTATTTTATCTAGAATAGACAAAAAAGATTGGATTGAAATAATTTTTAAAATACTTTATTCAGTATTTCTATCGTTACTAGCTAATACTTTAAGAACATGAATACTACGATGTAAGCTGAGATAATCTTTTACCATCCTTCTTTTCGATGCATCATATTGTATCACGAAACATTTGCCGTGATTGCCATCGGAATAAATATTTTCTAACAGTAAAAACGTAACCATTGTTAGATCAATTCATTTATTTACTGTATTGTTTTCCGTTTTTTCGCATATGACTTTAATTAGGTAAACTGTGCAGCAATTGGATGAAAATATTGTTCAAAGCATTTGGGAAATTTTCTTCTGGATGTGAACTTAAATGAATTAGAGAATTACATCGCCTGCTACACGACTATCAACACTTGCATGCATGACGATAAAAATATGAATATTGAAACATAACTTGTGGTGTACTACTAATATTGTTGATTTCGTTAGAATTTTAAAAATAGATATATCTCATTTAATTAAATAACAAAATATTCAATATTGTATGAAAATTTGTAAATAAATAATATTTTAATATCAGTAATGGGCAGGCATCAATTTGTTTTATTGCCGAAGAGCAGCTTCTTTTTCTCTCGAAATCTATTTACTCTAATCAGCACTTTGTTTATAAGTTGAAATTAACTCATACGAACTATACATATCATCAATTTAGTTAAATTGGTTTTTATTAAAGTACTTATCCTCATTTCAATCAAATCAAAAAGAATTGTTAAACATCACTAGAGCTCAGCATAATTTAATTCTATACTTTCGCTCATGAAATTAATTTTATGTTTGTATTGGATTTAATATTCATCTGTCCAATCTGTCTAAAGATTATAAAAGACGCATAAATTTGTAAACATCAAAATTTTCTTTGACCAATTGAGTCATTATGTTTGATATGGCTTATGAAATACGATGATAATGTAGAGTTTGTTCTTTTGTCATACTATGTTTCTATTTCATGTCAATTTGTTTGTTTAATTAATCAATCAAAAGCAGAAAACAATAACTTCGGCGAACAGTGTAACATCAACATGACCGTTCCGTCCCGAAATACAAGAAAATAACTAATCGTTTGAGCCTTTGTTTATTTAACATATCGGGCACATAGTCGTCCTAATTTTGTTCATTGTTTTTGAGTCCGAAAGACTTTAGATGACAACGAATGACGATTACAACATCTTCTCTTCTCTCTGTCTCTCTACTTGTCTCCTCTTTCTTTCTTTCGTTCGTTACTCAATCAATGATATGCTCATTGTCAAATAGTCGATAATGAATTTAGCACTGTTATTACTGAGTATAATTCTAGCATTAATAAAAGCCGATTGTGGTGAAGAATTTAAAATAATATGTTATTTTTCGTCATGGACTGGCATTCATCCGGAAGCAAAAAATTGTACACATATTGTCTACACATTTGCACGCATTGAAGATGATAATACACTCACTGGTAATTATTAATCTACTCTAAAACATATTGAGTCATGTTTATCTATAATAAATAGGTGTATGGAGTAATCCTTTGAAAGAATTTAAGAATACTAAAGATCCAGATCTGAAAGTTTTATTGGCTGTTGGTGGTCAAGATTACGCTATAAGACGAGCTGGTGAAATGATGTCCAAAGATGAATCACGCCAAAAATTTGTTATTTCAACAACAAAACTTTTACGAACACATGAGTTCGATGGTATTGATCTAAATTTTGAACCCAATGAAGCTTTAGGACCACCGTCATCGCCCAATCAACAAGTCATTGATGATAAAAAAAAATTATCAACACTGTGTAAAGTAAAATTTTGTTAACGTGTTGTGTTTGTTTTTGTCACTTTTGCTTTAATATTGCGAAGGAACTTCAAGAAGAATATGCTGAAGAAGCCGGTAGAACAGGACGAACTCGTCTATTACTTACAATAACGGTATCGGGAATAAAAAAACAACTTGAATCACGTTTTGATTTGCCAGAACTTGCAAAGTTAGAGTGAAGTTCTGATTTTCATTTAGTCTTAATTATTTATTTATATAGATGTGCTGATTGGCTCAACGTTCAAACATATGATTATCGAGGTTCACATGACAAAATTGCTGATCATCATAGTCCTCTTATGGAAGCTAAAAATGCTGAAGATAATGACAAAGATTTAAATCAGGTTTGCACAATTATCGATCATTTCAATACATTCGATACGTTTTATTCTAGAATTCTGCCATTAAATTTATTGTTAGTACTGGTGTTGTACCATCAAAATTATCGCTTGGTTTGGCTGCATATGGAAAAAAATTTCGTTTTACTAGTGATTCACGCGATATGGGCAGTGCCGCGACATGTGTCGGCAGTGTACCTTATATAGAAGTAAAAGAAAAATAAATAAACTTTCCGTGAAATATTTTCTTTTGCTCAATTAGCTTTGTCGTAATATAGCGTCGGGCTGGCAACGAATCTTTCTCGATGATCGTAAAGTACCAATTATGATGAAAGGTTGGTTTGTTTTGGTGGAAAAGAATGTTAGACTAAATTTAAACATATATTTTCCTAGGTGATGAAGTCATCGGTTACGATGACCTTCAAAGCATGGAATTAAAAGTAAGTGCGAAATTTCTGTCGAGAAATTCTATTTTGCAAAATTTTATACAATAGATTAATTATGCAAAAGAACAACGTCTTGGTGGTGTTGTCATATATCCAGTGAATTTCGATGATAGCTCAGCTCAATCATGTAGCCAAGGAAAATTTCCTATTGTCTCACTTGTAAAACAACTAACATCGAATTATACTGTTTCATGTTTACCACCTACAACACAACCTTTAAATACAACTGTAGCACCACGAAATCGAACGAAGAACATAACGCCTAAATGGAAATTATCACGTCCAGATTATTTAAGTCCTGGAATAGGATTACACCCTAAAGGTCATCGTCGAGTAAACAACTCTGCTTATACAGTACGATCAATCTATATAATTAAATATGTTTTATTTAGCTTTTTATTTCTGCTTGTATGAATTCTGTTGCAAAAAAGAAAGAAACATAATATATTCAGAACAAAAACACAATTAGTTTTTTCCATTGAAAATAATACGCATTTGTTCTTTGTCTTCTTTTGATAAACATAAATAACTTTCCCCTCGAGTTTGAAAACAATGTTCTGTTTTTGATGAACACGGTTTATCTAAACATGTTTGACGATATTCACATAATGTACCATAATAAAATTTCGATGTTGAGCATAAACATTGATAGGCACCATTATCGTCTTTGATACATGTACCATTATTTCGGCATAATTTAAATTGATCACATTCAGATGTCGTATTACAAACCGAACAATATTTTGGACAGCTTTCGACGAAGTATTGACCTTTGACCATAGTTGAATATTCCGTGCACCAGTTCTTAACTTTTTTGTTTAATTTCGAATAGACTTTAATTAATTGTGAACAATCAGCAGAATCAATACATGTATATTTATCGAAACTGCTAGGTTTAACATATTCTCGAGGTTTTATTATTGTTGATAGAAACTTTTTGCTGGCAGCAACTTTTTTTGATTTTTTTGAAGATATTTCTTGTGTTGTCTAAAATGAGATGTACTCCTTAGTAAAGTGAAGTGAAAGAAAATTTACCGTTGTCATCGTAGTTGTAGTAGTTTGACGCAATGGTAGTTGATTACATTGACCACATGTATGTGGACATAATTTCTTGGGAGATATTCCATTAATACGAACATAATCATTGCCACAATATTGAGCAAACATGGAACAACGTGCATGTTGATCACCACATTCCGGTATTAAATGTCTGAAATTTGAAAATGGTCGATATTTTTTTAAATTAATTTAAAATTTCGACTGTCATTTACTTTTTACATTCTTCACAGCATAGACGATAGTAGGGTATTGATGATTCGTAACATAAATAAGTTACATTCATACCACGAGATCGTAATAAATTAAGTGCATCTGAGCAAAGCATATTACCCGTACTTAACTTGTCGATTAAACTTAACATTTGAATAGGTACAAGCAAATCTCCATAGGGACAATTATCTAAATCAGTTTTTTTCATTGTTTGATTTATAGATACACATTGTTTTTCAAGACATACACGATTTTCACCACATGGAGTTCCTATAAAAATAGTTTACAAAGAACAAATCTGGAAAAAAAAACGTTTTTATAAAATGCAAACCATCAAATGCTCCATATTGCCAATACATATATTCATCTTCTGGAGTTTTAAAACATCGCAATTGATTGCAAATATTTTCTTCGTATAAGTTATGATTGCTATTATTGTATGTAACAGAAATATACGGAATAGCTCGTGGTCCATATTGTAATTGGCATTGTTGATGAACATTAATTATTTGCCCTAAGTAGAATGAACTCATATTTCGTAGGTTTTCAAATTTTGTATCATTCTTTGTGCTAATTATTTTATTTTTCCAACATGTTGTCGTTGTATTATCAACAAAATGATTTAATTCGCTGATTGAACATTCAGAAAAATAAGGCAGCTGTTGGCGATCAACGGTATTCATATTTTTTGGTGACATTATATATCGAAATTTAGGATCAAAACATTTATTTTCTGTTTCATCATGAGTGAAGCCGAGATTATGCCCAAGTTCGTGTGCAACTGTCATTGTCACAGAAAATGAATTCAGATCTTCTTGAATAATTGAATATTGAAATAAAGGTAAACAAGTACCTAAAACATACGCTGAACCAGCTCCATCGTTTAGGTCGAAACGAGTAAATGTTGCAATATGATCAACACCATTGCGAAAATAACGTTCATCAAATTTATTGATTTTATAAGCTTGATGGAATGATTTAAGAAGATTCATGCTAATATTTGGTCGTAACTGCACGTTATTGGGTGATTTTCGATAATTTTCTGTTAGAGATGATATATTTGTAAATGATTCCCATGGCAGACGATGTTTATTAGTAGCAAAAATAATTTTAGTTAAACGAATATGAACATCCAGTGTTTCATTAATCAGCGATTGTCGATAGAGTTGTTCAACACCCAAGAAAACATGAGTATAGTACAATTTAAGTATTTCAATGGCTTCTAATTCAGTTTTATTTAATAATGCTCGAAGATCATTTGTAATAAGACTATCAATAACGGCAACTATTTCCAAATATAAATGACGAGATTTTTCAGGTACTGGCCGTAGTGTTGTTGTTGTCATGGTAGCATTTGTCAATAGTTCAGTATCATTTTCAGCTGAAGATATTGTTATATTTTCAACTGTAACAGGTAGTAGCGTTGACGAATCTATTTGTGTAGTTGCTCGGAACGTTGTTACTTCCATATCTGAACTGTTGTATGTAGATTCTGTTTCATCAATAGCACGTCGTTCATAATTGCTATTCCAATCAATAGTAACATATGCTTGTTCAATAATTGACTCTTTCGATTTGATAATATAAGCATTGTTTACTGATCGTTTTGTTTTTGTTTGTTTTATAGACATAGGTGAAGATATGTCATAAAATGTTCCATTCGGTATTTGTACCATAGCAAATAAAAGATTGTTGTCAGTCGATGTGCCATGGATTACTGTTGCAAAACCATGAGAATTTTCATTTGATTCCAAATGATAAGTTTTAACCGATGTTCCAGATGATAAATTTAATATTTTAGGATTGTGCTCATCATCAAGTATGATTACATTTGGTAAAGAATATTCAGCATTCGGCTTTGTTATTTCAACAAATGGAAAATAATTATCACTGCCATCAATATTTAATGTTAAATCAAATGAAACTATTGAATTTATAGTGGTTAATACGAGCAGCAAGATTACCAACGCCATATTATTTGAGAAATAACTGTTGTTATGTAGAAAGATATTCTTGTATTGAAGCACAATATTCCTTCAACTCGAACTATCATGTGATGACAGCTTTGACATTATTAATGTTATGCTGAATAATCTACGTATCTGTTAGAGAGTACTCTAGCAAACCTTATTTATTTATTTAGTTCTTGTTTCCTTTTGTGTGTGTTGTGTGTTTCTTGTATGTGCAATCCAACTCGAGATGCACATACGTCAACCGTTCTTTTCCATTTTTTTCTTTCCTCTCTCTCTCTCCATCTCTCTCTGCCTTTGTTTTTCTCTCTCTCTTGTGTATGTGTTGTACAGTATAAATAGGAAAAGAAAACGAATAATAAAGGAGATCAGATTAAGAATAGATCACGATCGGATCATATTGGAAAATAGAAACGTGTATTTCTACGTTGTGAAATTGAATTAAGTTACAGCTGGGCCTCTGTAACAGTATCTAATGTAATAGTCCAAAGGGAATTAGTAATGTCATATATATATACACAAAACAACATATTCTCATCAATAAATATCACACGGCTTTCATGTCTTCAAACATACAATTGATTACTTGAATATAGATTTACGTAATCTGTCAAACACCGAACCATGACTATTCCAACGATCTATAATAATAGAAAACTAATTATATAACAGCATTGATAATCAACTGAAATTACCAAGGTCGAACTCATAAATAAAGCCAATCCACCATTCGTTCCTATCATGAGCGTCTCTTCAACATACTAAACATAAAATTAATCAAAGTAAATATATGAAATTATTTTAAAGCTTACAATAATTTGATTCACATTTGGATTATTTGATTGACTTATGAAACCATCGACTTGAACTACAAATATAGGATTCATTCATTTTGTTCTTCTCTTTCAAAAAAAGAAAAGAAAACATACATGCAAAAATAATACCAATAATACCAACCGCTGCTCCAATTATCATCAAAAACCATAAGCAACATTCAAACTAAATCAATCAGACAGTATTACAAACACTTAGGCTTACTTTTTTCTACTCACTATTCTTAATAATATTAATCGTAATGTAAAGAAAGCAATAAGCCCATGAATACTTATTAGAATACCAAATGATCCAATAATAACGAGAAGAATACCAAAGCCTAATTCACGACGATAGANATACCAACCGCTGCTCCAATTATCATCAAAAACCATAAGCAACATTCAAACTAAATCAATCAGACAGTATTACAAACACTTAGGCTTACTTTTTTCTACTCACTATTCTTAATAATATTAATCGTAATGTAAAGAAAGCAATAAGCCCATGAATACTTATTAGAATACCAAATGATCCAATAATAACGAGAAGAATACCAAAGCCTAATTCACGACGATAGATATCTGTTGAAAAACTAAGAACAGTTTGAAGACGTGGAATAATTAGATGCCATGTACCAAGCACAATAAATGCTACTGATTCGATCACAAGAAGAAAAATGAATAGAAGCGAAACTAAGATGATACACAGATGTAATGGTCTGTCACGAACACTAGTTGTTGGTCTATATTGATATTGAAGAGATTGAGATCGATTATGCATTGGTATATATTGAATACGATCGTTTATAGATATCTTGACAACTATTGCTTGATTAACTGACAATGTCGTGAACGAAAAAAACAGGATATGAACTAAAAGGTTTTTCTTTTTCTGGCATTTTGACTTAGTAATTGCTCAGTAAGTGAAAAATCAGTTAGATTACTTGTTATTTTTTTGATGAAAACAGGGAACCCATTACGTGACAAGATATAATCATGCCAGAATGAAATGTGTCACGCATCTTTTATTTCAATTAATATTTTAGATGTCTCCAAGGTTGTCAAAAAACATGGATGAACGTTGTTGTTGGCCATGTTCTCATGATTTTCGTGCTTGTTCAAAATATTGTTCTTGTTCTATTTGAAAATACAAAATATTCTGTATATGAAAATGAAATGAACAATATTCTCTTGTAGGCAGCGAAGGTTTTTCTCGGTTAGTTTGATGTTATTTACATTTCACATAAAACATAGACAAAACAGGTAACGCTATTAGAATCTGTTCCGTGTAGAATGAAGTATAAAATCACAGTTTTTCTAAATATTAACAAACTCAACTGAATAACCAGATTTGATTACAAATAAATTGTGTAGATTCAAAACAAGAAACAGAGTAATTGAATGTAAATATGAGTTCGAAGCAGTATTTTGATAAAGAAGACTTGTATCAGGATTATAAACTGAAAGTAAAGAAATTAAACTTTAAAATTTTACAAGAATAATATTAAAAACTCACGTATCAAAAGTCGTCCATCATTATCTAACAGAAAAGACAACAGTAGAATAATAAATAATAGTAGCATAATTATAACTTACCGAACCGAAATTCTGTTATTGGAGATGAATATTTCCCTTCGCCACCAAGAGACCAAGCTTGTACACGTAATTTATAATTTCGATTAGTATATAAATTATCAATTATCAGATTGTATATCGATCTATCAGCATAGTAAATAGTTGCATTACGAATTGACTGGTGATTTTCCCAAACTTTAACCTACAAAAACAAAAACGACTTAGATCTGCTATCAACGTAAAAATGTTGTTGATCCTTTCTACCATGTATCCTTCTAGAGGTTCTTCATCGGCTGATGTTGATATTCCACGCCATTCAACTTCTAATTTGTACATATAGACATCATCAAATAAACGAACACGCCTATCTTTTTCACTCTGTGGTTGTCGGATAGATATATATTGTGGTTGTGTTTGCGGTGATAAACGAAATGTTCGATGTGAAAAATAATCACTTTCAGGACTATCACCAAAGTGTGTATAAACAGAAACACGAACACAATATTCAACATTTGATTGAAGACCAATAATAATAGCGCGAGACCGTTGACCTGGAAAACGTCGTTCCCAATAATTTTGAAGCTCATCAACATCTTTACGCCAATAACGAACAGTATAGCCTATAAAAAAAACATTTTTCTAACGAATCAAAACTTTGAACTTTTGATTTTAATACCAAGTAAACTACCATGTAAAATTTCAAAATCATTTTCATCAATCATATCCCAAGTTACAGTCAGTGCTGTGCTATTGTATGGATAACATTTAACATTTAAAACTTGACGTGTTGGGCGATCTTCAGCTGAACGCACCGTAACATTACCAGATATAGGCCCTTCGCCAAGAGAATTAACAGCAGAAATACGAACATCATATGGAAAGTAATAAAGTTTATCGGCACTAATTGAATGAAAATAGATTTTGTTTTTTCTTATCTCAAGATTCATTTAACTTACAGGTGCGTTATTAAAAAATTCCGAAGTGGATAAATTACATTGAAAATTTGTCGTCGATTTTCTCCTTTTTTTTGTACATATATTCGATAAGTTAAGTTGGGCCCATTCCAAAACTCCATTGGCAGTGGATTCCAAATTATTCTTAAATCACCCATTTTACCACCACCTCCACCTAAATCAGTAGGTGCGAAGCCAGGAATATCTGGTTGTGTTGTACAAGTTGCTGATACGTCTGATCTTTCGCCAGATCCATACACATTTGTTGCAAATACACGAAAATTATAATCTGTAAATGCTGATAGACCCGATAATGTCATGGTAATAAACTTATTGAGTGGTAATGGTATTGAAAAATTTCCATGAAACATCCACCATGAACGATAATTAGATAGAGACTCAACTGTATAATATAGTATTGGTGAGCCATGTTCACTGCCAACAACCCATGATAATGTTGTTTGACGTTGAAATGGGTTACTACAGCGTACACCAGCCACTGGACCTGGCGGTCCGAATACGTTCAATTGATAGAATGAGGTTTGTTTATCAATGGTTGTTTGTGCTACACACGTATATAGTCCAGCATTACTATATTGAACTTCGACGATGCGTAGATCGCCTGGACGATCAAAATTATTCTGTTGAAAACGTCGATTATCAATAGTTAAAATTTCATTATTGAACCGCCAATGAAATGTTAAATCCATTTGATTTATTGAACGAGCATCACATGAAAGAACAATTGTTTGGTCTGCGATGGCATCACGACTACCAGATGTTGACAACATTGTTGTACCTTCAAACATAACGTAGACAAATGTACTTTGTTGTGCAATACCATATGGATTTGTTGCTATACATGTATAATTACCTAGAAATAGATTTAATAAAAATATAAAATCGAATCTTCGAATTATAATCATTTATGAAAGCAAGAACTGTTCGTTTTACTCTTACCAGAGTCAAATAATTGTACATTGAGTATAGCTAAATTTCCATTGGGAAATATTTGTATATTATTTGCCATAATTAACGGAATATTATTTTTAAACCATTGTATTTGTGGTTGAGGTGCGCCTTCTGGATGACAACTAATTGGAACTAAACTACCAATAACTGATCTTAATGTTGATGCCATTGTATTTCTACTAAATGTTGGTGCTAACGTAATAATACGTACTTCAGCTGTACTGAAACGTTGTATATCACTTTGAACATTTGTTGCTGCACATTGATATATGCCATTGTCATAGACTTGTACATTCTTTATCATCAATTCATTATTTATTATTGTCAAACGTAGTTGTTGTTCTAATGTTAACCGATTGAAAACTATTTCTGTTGCATTTATAAACCATGAATAACGTAATTGATCGAGTTCATTCGTGTATGCTTCACAATGTAACTGCAAAGTAGATCCAACATCAAGTATTTGATCTTCCAGTGGTGTAACGAAAACTGGATCAATTTGTATTTGTAATGCAACAGATTCATGAACAACTGAGCGTGTATTTGAGGCTTCACAAATATATACACCCATATCGTCACGTTGCAAATTAGGTATGATTAATTCACGATTATAATTATTTAAGATAACTTTCGATTGTAATGAAAAGAAATTACCACGAGCGTCTTGTCGAAACCAACGGTAACTCGGTATAGGATATCCTTCTGATACACATTCAATTGAGATGTTTTCACCCAATTTAGGTAAACGTGTCATCGGAAAAATATGTGGAAAACTTGGAAATATACGTGGACCACGTTCTTGTCCAAATGTTGAACGTACAACTAATTCTGTACCTTCACTCGTTTGAGATGGTAAATAACGTAAACGTGAATTCTTAGCTTGAACAGCACAATAATATCTTCCTGCATCACCGTCAGTTACACGAGAAAAATATAAATTTCCATTTCGAGAAATAAAACGTTCAAGTGTTTGTTGTACTTTTTGATTGATTCCACCTTTAAACCAAGCATAATTAAGCTAAAATAATCAAAAGAAAAAATATTGTTTTTTCTTCTTCAAAAATTCTAATTCTCATTTACATCGCCTGTATTTGTATTTCTATATAAACAATCCATTATTGCATCACGATGGCCATGAGCAATTACATTTGGTCGTTCACGTTTTTCAAATCGATCGAGTACTAATAATAGAGGAATTCATTATTGACTTTAGCTTTTGTCAATCAGAAAAAAAAGTTATTTCTACGCACTAATTTCACGCAAATGAACTCGATTACTAATTGCAGCACCATAGTAGTTTATTGCTTTACAAAAATATGTTCCACTATCTTCATTAGTGGGATTATTGATCTAAATAAACATTAGACAAATATATGTAAGTTTTCAACAAACAAAAGAATATTTTGTTTTACCATTAAGTTTCCACCATGTTGAAAAAAACGCGGATCAGTTAGATTTACTACTACGGCTTCTGATACAGAATTAGTTATCATTCGAAACCAACTAAAATCAAAGATATTTTTATAATTTTGACAATTTCATTATCTACATACTAATAATCAGCGACTGGATAGGCATCAGCTTGACATGTAAATGTCACAATAATATGTAAAGATGCTCTAGCAATACCAAATGTACTTTCACTACCAAGTGTTATTTGATCAATATGTCCATATTCTTGATCTTGTGGTTGTTCATAAAACTTTGGTCCACGAGGAATAAAATACTCTTCAATGGTTGATGGAAGACCATATTCTACATAGATGATACAAAATCATATCGCAAATGAAGTCAATCAAATCATACCAATTCCTCGGTAATCATCAAAAATACCATAGCTTTCTTGTAGTGGTACTTCGCAAATGAACGGTAAGGTTTCTGTTGATGCAATATCGTAAGGTAACCAACCCCATTGACTACCTTCATTGTTGTATAAAATGGCTATTTACTAAAAAACATTTATAAGAAGATTATTTTACTTTGATAAGCATAAACAATAAAGGATCCTTTTTGTTTTTCTTCTTCAGTAAGTGGTAACCATCCTTGGTCGTATTGAAAATTAAATAAGCCAGATCTCTTAGTCCATTGCCAAATCAATCCATTGCGTTTACCACTTGTAATCCAACGTTGTGCAGATGGATCATTTTCAGTCAACCAATTTTGTATAAATAAATGTTCATCAAATGATTCAACACTTAACAGATCTGTCTATGTAAATAATGTATGCCCAGATAAAAACAAATAACAAATAATCATATTTTAACTGACTGGACAATGCGAAACAGCACCACTATAAGTTTCTTGTGGAAAACGATAGAAACGATAGCACGATGATGTCCCAATAAATTCCTCCCAGCCATGCGGGCATTCTGTGTGTGTCAAAAAGAAAATAAATCAAAGTATTTGTGGTCACTTACTTAGTACCTGTGCGAATATGAGTTGAAGAGCAAAAATGATCAACAAAGAAATTAGATGAAGATTCATTTAATATATTATCTGATTTAGTCAGAGTTGAAAATATAATATTTCTCTATGTTCTATTAAAAAAAACATTCTGAATATAATACTTTAGCTAGATGGTGTGTGTATGGATCATATAAATTGATATACAGTTATCGAGAGTACTCAGTTTGAGTATTACGACAGTCGTAAACGGTTGCATTTGAAGATGTATATAACTGTGGGCTTATATATGTGGCTTAGATAAAGACAGACATCACGATTATATTTCGTCATACCATACTGTCGAAAGTTTTCTTTACTGTTATCTGAATCAAAGTTAAAAAACTATTTTTTTCCAGCGAATTCATAATTTTACTAAAGATATTTTAGTTTGCAGAAAGAAATATGTATAAAAGCAAAACTATCTTGAGGGTATGGGTGTGGGTCAGGGCTCCTAATGGGATGGGATGAATTCCTAATTCCATGGGAAATGTGATTATTTTTTTAAAGAAAAATGATTATTCATTAATGTCACACTTGACAGTAGGTGAAAAGTGTGAATATTTTCATTCTTTTTCTGTACTGGTCATTAACCTAACTCCGAGCTCTATTCGAACAATTGAATAAAGAATACGATAAAACATAGAAAACATAAATAAACATAAATGTTCTTTTTGTTTGAATGTTTTAATAAAATATCATTATCTTTTGTTTTATAAATTGTTCAATATCAACTTCTATATTTATTTCTTCCTCATTATCATCCTTAGTTTCGGATAAACAGGAATATTCAGTTGAGAAAGTCAAATTTCGTTTACAACATCACAAGCAGAATTAAAAGGCATTGATAATGATATTCCAACTAGGAATGCACCAATTTCTAGTACATGGTACGATAGATAAAATTTTTGCCTAATGTAGGAGGTAGTCGTCCTTTGATTCCGTTCCATATATCAGCCAAGATCATCTTTTTCGATCTATGAAAAACTATGATCCAAATTTATTAAAGGTGAAAAAGGGTTTTTGGATTTGACTCCCAGTTCCAATTTGTAAGTCGTTTTCCGTCAAATTCTGCCAAATCCAACCTAGTTTCAAACTTGCAATTTGATTTACACAAATTCTAAGAATAGATTTGAAAAAGCGTTCAAAACTGAACAGAAAAATATGAAGAAAGAGATGTTCAATCGATAATTCTCACTACCGGGCACGTCATTTTTAAGTAGGGGAAAGATCCAATCCCGTCAATTTCTTGAATTTTTTATTCAATATTTACATGTTCTCAGCATTGGGAGTTATGGATTAAGCCTCTTTTTACTTTTTTTTCTGTTCAGTTTTGAACGTTCTTTTCAAATCTATTCTTAGAATTTGTGTAATGCAAACTGTAAGTCTGAAACTGAATTGGATTTGACCGAAAACGACTTGAAAATTCAAATTCTGAGTCAAATCCGAAAACGTTTTTAATCTTTCATAAATCTCGGCTATCGTTTTACATAGAACAAAAAAATGGTCTTGGCTGATATATGGAATCATAGGACCGCTCCACTCTACATCAGGCAAAAATGACATCTTTCTTGTAATGTACTAGGAATTGGTGCATCCCTAATTCCAATATTCAAATCGGAATGCTGGAAAACTTCGAATTTCCAGTTACAAAAAAGATAAACCTTGATTTTCAGTAAGATTTTTCGTAATATAGCGAATCCCATGAGAGTCCATGGGATGGGATGGGATGGAACGACTTGCATTATCCCACGGGACGAAAATTTCGTCCCATCCCATCCCATTAGGAGCCCTGATTTGCACGTCTTTGATGTAGCTTCATTGAAGCATGAATTCTTCATTCGAATTAGTCGAGCTTTTCCAATGCTTCAATTTTTCTCTCTGGTGAATATTATGTTACAGTCATGGGATGTTAATGAATGGCAATATGATAATAATTCAACATTTTCAGTTATTGAATATTCTCATCTTATATCACTTGACATCACGAGTGTGCATCTAGATTATGTTGCACAATTTCTGCTCGAAACCAAGGCACATTTGCCTCGTCTAACTGAATTAAAAGTTAGTTATGACCAATTAAAAATGGTAACAATGAACTTTACAAGAGATGCCACGCAACGCAATTTTTCGAAAGTGAAACGATTAATTGTTGAAGAGTCAACGGTATTTTCAAAAGATGTTTATCAATATTTTCCTTCATTGTAAATTGAATTCTATGCTAATAACGCAAATAAAAATAAATTTTGTAAAAATCTTTATGTTATGATAATAAAATAAAAAAGATCAGTTGTTTATGATCGGGTATTGAGTTTTAACCAAGGGAGAAGCATCGTACTTTGACTCCTCAAAGTACAAAAGTACATCAAAGTATCCCGAAGTACTTGGAAGTACCACGAAGTACTTCAAAGTACCACGAAATACTTCAAAGTACCTCGAAGTACAAGGAAATTCTTTAAAGTAAATTCTTTAAAATACTAAATTGCCCAAAATTGCTTCTCGTTTCTTGCATTGATAATAAGAGTGTATATCGGCTTAGCTAGAAATTGGTAATTTCTTAAATCAAAAATTAAGGAAAATTTTGAGGGTGTCCGGTTTCAAAAGAAAATATTAATTTCTTGTACTGTATCACAACAATATGTTCTCAGCTTACCTACCCAGGAGAATCATTCCGACAGTAGGATTCTATCGGATTCCGACAAGGGTCAGACAGTGAATATACCGAATACCATATATGTTTCAATAAAACCGACGAAATCTTATGGGATTCCTGGACACGGGCCTACATTCGGATCCTTGGTATTGGATCCGATGTCGGATTTAAACGGAATTCAACTCTATTGAATCACCATTGCGCTCTGATGGCTCAAAATGGTTATTTGATCGTGAATAAGAAAATGATTTTTTCCGTCGGAACTGACAATAGACCCGTGCTCAGGAATCCTATCGGATTCTGCTAGGGAGTAGGATCCCATAGGATTCGATAAGATCCGTTGTCGGATGCTTTCACCTGGGTAGGAAGCAGATTCAATACCATTGGACATGTTCTAGTGTCTGAATGAAAGCCTATCCAAGGGTAAAATGTCGTACTTTTCTACTTTGAACTATACAACTAAGTACAAAAGTATTTCAAAGTACCTCAAAGTACTTAAAGTACGATGTTTCCCCCTTGGTCAACAGACAACACAGACTAGACATGACTCGGCTGAAGGACATTTCAGACTAGACTTGACGGCAGCTGCGGACATTTCTGACTAGTCATGTCGGCAGTCTCCCTTCATTTTTTGCTTACTTGGGATATTAACCGAAAAAAGGAGGAACGACCAGTATTAAAATGATTTTAATTCATCGTTTTATTGATGCAAAGAAGTTAATTCGATAGATACATGAAAAATAATTTAGATCGATGCCATGCTCACACATCGATAGTAAGAAACATCAAAATTATGTTCGTTTAGCAATGCTGTATAAAAGTACTCCATTTCCATATTTTCACGCACACACACACAGAGACGAAAAAATGAAAAACAATAGAGATCATAATAAAATTGTTTCGCCATTTGCTCGTTCTTTACCGATGATTTTTTTTCTTTATCAATACATTTTTTTTGTTGATCTTTCTTGTTTCTCATAGATGTACTGTTGGCAGAAACCAAAAATAAAATCATGCAACCTACAGTATGAGTTTTGTTTTTCTTTGCGGAAAGCTTTCTTAAAAATACAGGCCATCGAATGATTAAATTTTTTAGTAATATGCTACTCTAATAAAATTCACTATGCTCGGCATATATCGTATACAAATGATCTTGATCTTGATAGTCTTTGATATGTAAATAGAAAATTCTAGTTAATATTGCGATTTCAACCAAAATTTAGTGACTTTTGAACAAGGCGAAAAACAATTGTAATATAGCTTTTTTGACATATATCAAACGGAATTATTTTTATAATTTTATACACCGTCAAGATTGAACTAGTCTCGATAAAAAAAGATCTATATGAAACATGAGCATGATTTCACTCTTATTGATTTTCTAATTCATAGATTTATTTTTTGAGAAAAAAACATTCTTTGAAGAAACCTCTCAAACAAACTTTCTACATGAAAGATAATTATGAAGTAAATGCACTCTTCCCCTCACTATTCTTTTTTTTTTGGGTAGTTTCTTTTCACATTATAAATTTAATTGTGTCATTACTAAATGAATAACTGTTTAGAGCATCTGTACACTGTAAACTAGAAAATAAGTTATAGAGTATAATAAAAGATATTCTAGGAAAGTCCATACGAATTCACCGATGAATTTCTACTTTCTTGAAAATACGATATTCTAAATGACAGGAATAAGAAATTCGATTTTCTAGTTGGAAAATCGAAAAGGAATTCGCATGGGCTTTTCTAGAAATTCGCATTTGATTTAGCGATTAGAACATTTTCAAGAAATTTAAAATTCAACGTTTATTTTTATTCTATCATCAAGTTTATTTTATTTCACATTTGAAAAACATAATGTACAAAAATAAGCTAGAATCAGATAAAAACACGAAATAGTCTGAAATACACAATGCGCAAAAACAAACAAAAATGTTACAATCCGATAAAACAAAAATACTTCGAAAACTACCGACAGTAAAAAATGAGAATAAGTTGATGTTAGCGAGATCTGATGAAAAATATACACCAAAATAAGTTAAATACAATGAATTTAATTCGAGCTATTTTACATGACATTCAATTACGACGTATAGAGTGATTATCATCATAGTGCGCGCTTATTCAGTTTATGTTCATTTAAAAATCGTTTTGCAGCTAATGTTAAGGAAAATGATCGTTTTTTCAATGATAAACCATTCAGAACTTCTAATGTTGCTCGTACTTTTGTTGGATATTCTA